ATTTAAGTTTTAATTCGCATGCGTGTGTGTTGCATCTCAAGTGCATACTGTTGACTTGTCCTCTTAAACAATTTCCGAAGTTAACATTTCAACGCAGAATATTCACTCTAAAGTGTTGGTAAATAATATAAAAATGCTACTGCAAATCGTCGGTTCATTGTAAGTTACCTTACGATGTAAAAAAAAAACAATATGTGTAAAATGTTTGGAAAAAATTAGCTAATGTATTACCTTATAACTTTTTGGAGATATTTATATATATAAAAAAACATAATGTGTGCAATTACAGTAAAAATAATGTTTGTAAATATTACATTTTTAAATAAAATAATTTTTATTATAATTACTATATTATTATATACTATATACTATATTTATTATGATAACACAAAATAAATAAATAAACTGACAATTGTATAGCTTAAAAAAAGAGAAATGGGAAAATTACATTAAAAAGTGCTCTAAAAATAACCTACACAGCAGTATTACAGCTGAAATCATTGTTCCAAAGGCAGGGCTTGCATTGAGGATCTTTTTTTCATTGTGCTACTGCGCAATTAATCATTCCTTGGCATAGAGTTTACATACGCAACTGACCTCAGCTGGGTATATTGTGCCAGCCCCAGCTCCGGTGACGTCAACTCGCAGTCTAGGACCCAAATTAACAGCCCACCATAAAGTGAGCTGAAGCGACAGTGAGACAGATTTCAAGTGGAACAGCTCAACAGCAAATCGTGTGTGTTCAAGCATGTCTGTGTGAGAGGGATATTCACATGCAGTCGGGGAAGGCTACGAGAGACACACACGCAGAGAATATGTAGGTTTAAATATTGTGTCCTAGATAAATGGAAAGCATGCATCATCCCCTGTCTTGCAAATTTTGGCCTGTTATTCCTGGATGAGGTTCAACTAAATGTATGTCATGTTCATCTGAGGCTGTCTGTCTCGCCTTTTGCGTGTCTGTGTGTGAGAAAGATTAGTAAAGGTATAGTTCACCTAAAAATGAAAATTTGCTAAACATTTACTCGAGAGTTTGTTTCTTCTTTGGAATAGATTTGGAGAAATTTAGCATTACATCACTTGCTCACTGATGGATCCTTCGCAGTGAATGGGTGCCGTCAGAAAGAGAGTGCAAAGACCTGATAAAAGCATCACAATAATCCATAAGTAATTCACACGACTCCAGTTCCTCAATTAATGTCTTGTGAAGCAAAAAGCTGTGTATTTGTAATAAAGACATTTTTTACTTCAAACCATTTTTTTCCAGTCTAAATTACAAGTCCTCTACTCATAAAATTGTTTTCTCCAGTGAAAAAGTAGTCTTGTCAGTATCAGGGGAGAAATATGCACAGAACAAGCACCTTACAAGGTGAAAACAGTCCAAAACAGTTAAAAAAAAATGTCAGTGGATTTTTGTGTATTTGTAATAAAGACATTTTTTACTTCAAACCATTTTTTTCCAGTCTAAATTACAAGTCCTCTACTCATAAAATTGTTTTCTCCAGTGAAAAAGTAGTCTCGTCAGTATCAGGGGAGAAATATGCACAGAACAAGCACCTTACAAGGTGAAAACAGTCCAAAACAGTTAAAAAAAATGTCAGTGGATTTTGATGTGAGAGGAGAATAGGGACTTTTTCACTAGAGGAAGCATTATTATGGATTATGGATATTTTTATATGAGAAACAAAAGTTTAAAGCTATAATGCATTAATGATGGATTTGTTTCTTACAAACAAACATCTTTGCACTTCACAAGATGTTAAATGATGGACTGGAGTCCTGTGGATTAGTTGTGGATTATCGTGATGTTTTTATCAGCTGTTTGGACTCTCATTCTGAGATTTTTTTCTGTCTTTGGCGGCGCGGTGACTCTGCAGACTAGCCAGTTGACTTGCACAGTCCCCTTAGTCTTCTGCGAGCAGGTTATTTTCATCACTCAAAAAATAAACTGTCCTGCGAGTTATTCTCCTGGGTCCTAGAGCTACGATGGGAGAGAGAGAGAGATGCTCAGCTGCTCAGCTGATCCGCAATGCTATTTAAGTTTTAATTCGCATGCGTGTGTGTTGCATCTCAAGTGCATACTGTTGACTTGTCCTCTTAAACAATTTCCGAAGTTAACATTTCAACGCAGAATATTCACTCTAAAGTGTTGGTAAATAATATAAAAATGCTACTGCAAATCGTCGGTTCATTGTAAGTTACCTTACGATGTAAAAAAAAAACAATATGTGTAAAATGTTTGGAAAAAATTAGCTAATGTATTACCTTATAACTTTTTGGAGATATTTATATATATAAAAAAACATAATGTGTGCAATTACAGTAAAAATAATGTTTGTAAATATTACATTTTTAAATAAAATAATTTTTATTATAATTACTATATTATTATATACTATATACTATATTTATTATGATAACACAAAATAAATAAATAAACTGACAATTGTATAGCTTAAAAAAAGAGAAATGGGAAAATTACATTAAAAAGTGCTCTAAAAATAACCTACACAGCAGTATTACAGCTGAAATCATTGTTCCAAAGGCAGGGCTTGCATTGAGGATCTTTTTTTCATTGTGCTACTGCGCAATTAATCATTCCTTGGCATAGAGTTTACATACGCAACTGACCTCAGCTGGGTATATTGTGCCAGCCCCAGCTCCGGTGACGTCAACTCGCAGTCTAGGACCCAAATTAACAGCCCACCATAAAGTGAGCTGAAGCGACAGTGAGACAGATTTCAAGTGGAACAGCTCAACAGCAAATCGTGTGTGTTCAAGCATGTCTGTGTGAGAGGGATATTCACATGCAGTCGGGGAAGGCTACGAGAGACACACAATATGTAGGTATGTAGGTTTAAATATTGTGTCCTAGATAAATGGAAAGCATGCATCATCCCCTGTCTTGCAAATTTTGGTCCTGGATGACTGGATGAGGTTCAACTAAATGTATGTCATGTTCATCTGAGGCTGTCTGTCTCGCCTTTTGCGTGTCTGTGTGTGAGAAAGATTAGTAAAGGTATAGTTCACCTAAAAATGAAAATTTGCTAAACATTTACTCGAGAGTTTGTTTCTTCTTTGGAATAGATTTGGAGAAATTTAGCATTACATCACTTGCTCACTGATGGATCCTTCGCAGTGAATGGGTGCCGTCAGAAAGAGAGTGCAAAGACCTGATAAAAGCATCACAATAATCCATAAGTAATTCACACGACTCCAGTTCCTCAATTAATGTCTTGTGAAGCAAAAAGCTGTGTATTTGTAATAAAGACATTTTTTACTTCAAACCATTTTTTTCCAGTCTAAATTACAAGTCCTCTACTCATAAAATTGTTTTCTCCAGTGAAAAAGTAGTCTTGTCAGTATCAGGGGAGAAATATGCACAGAACAAGCACCTTACAAGGTGAAAACAGTCCAAAACAGTTAAAAAAAAATGTCAGTGGATTTTTATGTGAGAGGAGAATAGGGACTTTTTCACTAGAGGAAGCATTATTATGGATTATGGATATTTTTATATGAGAAACAAAAGTTTAAAGCTATAATGCATTAATGATGGATTTGTTTCTTACAAACAAACATCTTTGCACTTCACAAGATGTTAAATGATGGACTGGAGTCCTGTGGATTAGTTGTGGATTATCGTGATGTTTTTATCAGCTGTTTGGACTCTCATTCTGACGGCACCCATTCACTGCAGAGGATCTTTTGGTGAGCAAGTGATGCGATGCTAAATTTATCCAAATTTGTTCAGATGAAGAAACAAACTCCTTTATATCTTTGATGGCCTTAGGGTGAGTACATTTTTAACAAATTTTCATTTTTGAGCAAACTATTCCTTTAAGGTAAACTTAGAAATTGTATTCATATTCATTTTATGAACACCTGCAAAACATGCCCATGTGTTCATAATAGCCTATTAAATCTGAGTCAGACATGTTATCGTTCTCAAAACAGGACCACTTGTAGACTGATGAAAGAGAATCTAAACAATTTAATGATTGCAACATTAAATGAATAAAGGTATTAAAATGACTTAGTCTGACATTTGCCACATACATTTGTGTGGTGAATAACATCTTTACCCTGTCTGGCCGTAATGAAAGACATCCTTTGCTAGAGGTATGAGTGAGTCAGGTCCTTAGGGGGAAATGGAACAGACCAACCATGCACTTGACTTGTACGTGAGCTATAATAAAAAATGATGAAAGAATAACTTAATATGGCTGATGGGTTATTTATGTCATCTAAGAACATGCTGTTCTTAAGATATACAGTAATATGTCTTTTTACAATTATTACATGACAGGCTAATGTTTTACTTGAATAGCAATTCAACATGCATCTTTTTAATCTGTCATGCATACACATTTTATCTTCTTTTACACTCATATACATACGTGCAAGCATCAGAGCATGCAAGCGTACTGTAGTAGTCATAGCATTTAACCTTTAGGCAATTTGTGTTACAAGGACATTATTTTCTCTCACAATCAAATGCAAGAAGCTGTAAATAGCTGGACTCCACATTTTAATGCTTTCTATTACCCTAGTGCCCTCTCAGCTGCTACTTGAGTAAAACAACTCGAAGATGTATTATGACAAAGAAACAGGAAACATAATATGCGATCAATATCATAATACTAATCATAATAATACATCTTCTACCATGTAGGCTACTTGTATATTCTTCACAGTGAGGCATTTGCTATTTAATCTTATACGTCGCAAGAAAGAAATGACAATAAACCAACCGATTTTGACCTATACCACTTTTTAGATCTGTAGGTTTTACCGTAAAAGAGTTATTTCACCACAGTAATTTTGGTATTTTATAATTATCATTATTATTTATTCATTGTAATATTATAAATAACACATTATTTAACCCTAAGAAACATTAAATAAGCATTTCAAATGTTGAAATTTCTCGTTTTTGCCATGTCATGCATACAAGTATAGAAAACACTTTTTGGGTTTGCCCCCCATTGGCAGGAACTGGAGAAACAGCTATAGGCAATGTACAAACATGTTCATCTTCCTCATTTACTACAGTACTAAGGCTGTGACAAAACTATATTTCTAAAACGTGTTTACAAGAAAAAAAAATATACATAATTCTGAATGACTTACACAGTTACTCCTGAATCATTTAGAAGGATTTTACATGGTATTCCCTTTGTTATTTCATGCATTTTGAAATCCCCGACAAATACTACAAGTCCCACAAAGCAATCATGTGGCCTCTGATTGGAGGCGATTGTAGCCAATCAAAGCGCGCAGCAGTACTGATGCGACAAGAGCATCTTCCATCATGGCGGTGGTATTCAAGGGATTTCCATTCAACCTGCTGTTTGCATCCATATTGTTAATTCTGCTGCTATGTCTTCAGTCTGGAGGAGGTCAGAAGAAAAAAGAGGTACTGATGCATTAATGAAGCTGCCTTTTACAGCACCCAGTGATGTTGACTTCTGGCAAAAATCCTAGTGTTCGCGTCCAAGTCGAGCATCTGTATTACCAGCTGGCGCAGTTAAATGATGTTGACCGAGAGACGGCTATTTTTAAAGCTGCACGGCAAGAACAAGACGCTGTTCTAATATAAACATGTTTTTGCATCAATGTTCTAGCACAGGGTTCCTCAAATCTTGCCCTGGAGGTCCAATGCGCTGCAGAGTTTAGCTCCAACCCTCATCAAACTCAGCTACCTGTGATTTTCTAATGATCCTGAAGACATTGATTAGCATGCTCAGGTGTGTTTGATTAGGGTTAGAGCTAAACTCTGCAGGAAAGTGGATCTCGTGGGCCAGATTTGAGGATCCCTGTTCTAGCAGAATGCCCCTTGAGTTTTATCCTCGCAGGTGTCCGTTCCATTGTGAACGCAGCCGAGTGCGGGTGGTCGTGACGCTGTACGCGTGCCCTTATAATGATAAACTGCACTCTTAAAAATAAAGGTGCTTCAAACGGTTCTTCAAGCGATGCCATAGAAGAACCATTTTTGGTTCCACAAAGAACCATTCAGTCAAAGGTTCTTTAAAGAACCATCTCTTTCTTACCTTTTTATAATCTGAAGAACCTTCTTTTGCCACAAAGAACCTTTTGTGAAACGGAAAGGTTCTTCAGATGTTAAAGGTTCTTTATGGAACCATTTAGACAAAAAGGTTCTTCTATGGCATCGTGAAGCACCTTTATTTTTAAGAGTGTATTCTGTGGAAGCAAATAATAATAATAATTGAACGTTAAACAAAAGTAGCTGTTATAAAGTTTGATATTTGAAAAGGTGGCGCTGTTAAAATAAATGTAAATGCATCTAAATTGCGTTAGCTCGTTTATTAATTTATATTATTATTATTATTATTTTTAATTAAATCGTTTGAATGTTTGACTGACCACTAAGGTTCTTTTATAACATGTCATCGTTAATTTAGATACTTAAATTGAGATCATTAATTTAGATACTTTTATTTTATTTACTTACATTTTAAGTTACACGTGCAGCTTTCTATATTTTTATATTTAGATAGCCTATTTTTATTTAATATTTCTGAACATGGTATTGAAGTAGCAGGTTGAATCATGGGTGTTAATAATAATTGCAAATAATATAGATGAATTAAAATAACATTATTTGTACTTTTTTATTAAGTTATTGTAATAATTCTGAAATGTCTTCATAATTTACTGCAGTGTTTCTGAATGTCAGGTGAACTGCTAGACAGAGTCTAGACTGTCTCTAGATAGTCTCTCTTTGTCTCTTCCTTTCTTACTTGATTCTCTCTCTCTCTCTCTCTCTCTCTCTCTCTCTCTCGCTCTCTCTCTCGCTTTCGAAAATATGATGTGTATTTGACCTTTTCCTCTCCCCTGCAGCAGAGGAGCAGAGAAATGATCATATTGAGCACAAATCAGGCAAAGTGGTGAAGCAGCATCTTTCTGCTTCCCCCTCCTGCATTTTTAAACTGATTTCTTCATATTTCCTCTTTCTCTTTTGTCTTTTCCTCCTCCTTTCTCCTGCCCCTTGCTCTGCGGGTGCTGAGAAGGGCAGTATTTTGACTCCCTGTCGTTAGGGCTTACTATATCTGTTAAGGTTTACTCTGCCCTCTACAAGCGAGGGAGGAATATTGGAGAGTGGGTAGGGGGTGTAGGATTTTTTTTTTTTTTCCAAGACCAGCTACTCGTTCATCATCACAGCCAAATTTTGTGTGTCTCGTATCTTGGCTTGACTAATGTGAAAATGTGGGAAAAGAAGGAGTAAGCAGTTTTGAGCTGCTTGAATAGCAGAGTCTTTGTTTGCCTTTGTTTCCCCTTTGAGTTGGCCTGAGGTGGACTCTTCTTTATAGCGTTTAAAGCCAATTTATTTCTCCTCATTTTGTCCTTTACTTGTTTACACTCAGGGTCACGTATGAGGTTTCTTTTAAGGTACTGCTTTCTGATTTTATTCCTGGCCTTTTGATGACTTGGCTGCAAAATTCCTTTCTAGCTTTATTTTCAGGTTTGATGGGTATATATTATATCAACATAATGACATTTTAAGATGTTATAGGATTTGCATGGCCAAATAACCTGCCATGGTGAAATATCATAAGTGTGAATGTACTGTGTTAATTTGATTTCATGAATTTATGTAGGTATAAATTGCTAATTTCTCAGGTTTATATTTTTCACCCTGTTGTCTAGCATGGGACCCCCCATCCTAAAATTTAAAAGACAGATATACAGTATATTTCTATTTATAAAGGCCCAATTCATACTTTGAAAAATTTAGATTGTAAATATTATTTGCTAAATATTTTGTTTTGATTGTTACATTGTGAGGTTTTTTTTAACCTAAAATGTTTAATAGCATACTGTTAGATGTCAAAAATAAATAAATAAAATAATTTATTTTACAAAAGTAGCTACTACTGTTCAACGTATTATTTATTTAAATCAAACTTTATATACTTTTATCAATTAATTTATTTGTTTTCATATTTTTGCTTATTAGTTATGTTTATGCACTTTTTTTACTTTATTTACTTTATTACTATAAATAAACATACATATTTTTACTTGTATCAATTTATTTGAATCAAATTTATTTAAATTAAATGTAATTTATCACTACTTTTGTTTAATTATTTGTTATTTGATTAGTTTTAGATATACACGCCTTTCTAAACTTATCCATGTACCCTCATCCACTCCCTTGTGGACCCTGGCAGTACCTGGACCCCAATTTAAAAACCCTCGGTCTTGATATCATCTTCAATTAACCGGTTCAATGTAATAATTTGTTCATCCTAATGTATTGTTTTAAATTTGAGTTGTGCAGTGCAAGTTTTCCTTTGGAGAAGATTTTCAATATAATATCAGTATAACTCAAAATAGGCTTCTCGTTTGAATACATGACTGTGTCCAACACTTGTTTGGTTTGCTTACTTTAGCAGCTGCTCTTAAATCAAAATCCCGTAGGCTATGTTGAATCACTCCCAAAGAATGAGTCAAATGATTATTTCTGTTATTTTTGTCTGGATGTCATGCTCTGTTCGGTTTTAATGCATAAGAGGTGGTTTTTGCTTATGGATGATATATTTTAGTTTTTTCCAACTTCTGTAGCTATGGGCATAGATTTGGGTATGGACAATATAGGTTCATCTTACTACCACCACTGTTACCAAGAGACATTTAATTAGTAACAATATTTCTAGCCATCACAGTTGTGAATAAATGTAATATAGGGAGTATTGGATGTTTCTGTGTTATGTTTTCAGGTTAGGCTAATTTAGGTTGAATGAATGTATTACATTTATTGTAAATATACACTACCATTCAGAAGTTTGGGGTCAAGGCTGCATTTATTTCATGATAAATACAGTAAAACTATAAATTTGTGAAACATATTTACAATATCTGTTTTCTGTTTTAATATATTTAAAAAATGTATTCATTCCTGTGATGGCAAAGCTGAATTCTCCATTTCAGTCTTCACTGTCAAGTTATTATTCATAAATCATTCTAATATACTGAAGAAACATTTCTTATTATCATCAATGAACAATTAATGTCGAAAACATTCTTAATATTTTTGTAGTACCTGTAATTTTTTGTCCTCAGAATTATCTGATGTAAAAAGTTTAAAATGTACTTGAAATACAAGTATTTTTCATCACTTTTGATTAATTTAGTGTGTCCTCGCTAAATAAAAGTATTAGTTTGTTTGTTAATTTGTAAACACATTTTTGAACGGTAATGTTTTATTTATATACTATGCATAAAAATCGTATTAATCGTAATTTAATAATTATTAAGTTAATTACAGTATATAAGAAATTCATAAATACGATTAAGAAAGAGTAGTGATTTATTGTCAGTAATTACTCTAGGTAGGATTTAGCAAAACTGTTTCTAGTTGCTTACTAGCTTGTGTATTGTTATGATAACAGTAGCAATAATTTTTTTTGCTATAATAGAAAATGTATTTGCTGCAAGGAAATCGGGCAATGTTATGATTTACATTTAAACAGATGACTAAGTTTAATACATTTGAAACCTATAAACAAAGTACGCTGTGTGAATAAAAATAATACAAATTTCCAATGAGCTGCTTAGAATGAGACTGTTACTTAAAAATAAACGGTAGTATCGTCTAGTACGTATTTGGTCACTGTATTGTAGCTCTAGTTCTGCTGCTGTTTCGCTGCAGGACTCTTAGGATCCTCTGCTGTCTCTATTCCTCATATCTCTGGTAGAACATTTCTTGTAATATCTGCTGCAGGAAAAGTTGTCCGGGCCCATGATAGCTCCATCCTGACTGTAGCAGCTGGAGCTGAATAGCAGTGTGATCCCTTCTCCCTTCAGCTCTCAAACTGCGGCTCGAATCATTACGGCTCCGACTGGCACTGGGGCAAAAAGCATGAAAAAGTTTATGTTCTGAAACAACTGAAATGTTTGAAGTCTTGAAGCCTCCCTCACGTTGGGGTGAACAGTGCGAGGAGGGCCACCCTGCTGAGTGTTTGATGAAGGCAGTTTAATTCTAAAAGCTCAGAGGCATAATGATGCATACGTGTAGTCATCCATAGATAGGAAAGCACGTCATGCTGCTCTGCCTCTCTCATTCTTTCCCATATTCTCTGTTTCTCTCTCTTCTCGTTCTCGCTAACGTTTTATTCCCTCACCCCATCATTATGGACTGCTCTCGCGCAGCATTGATCTCTCCGATTGGGAACACTATTTCAGTGTGCCAACCTGCATATATACATTTCCATAATGAGTCTCAAGACTCAGCAAGATTCTAATTCTAAATACATCACGGCTCACTGCAAATTAATCTCCTCGAGATGATGTCTCCAGAGCATCAGGAGGTAGTTTTACATTTTTATTTTTTCATTTGTGACCACTGTTATTGGTAGGGTCACTAGAGGCAAAAGAGAGGAAATGATTGGC